TTCAGAAGCATCGCTTCCCATGCAAACCTTCGACCACAACTTCGTCGTCCTCTGATTCGGGTGGGTCGAAGGGCCTATTAAGGAAGCTTGTCTCCACATCGATTTGATCTAACATTTGCGTTCTTGCCTACACAAACGGTAACTTGTCGTTGGAGTGAGGATGAAAATTTATTAACAAATAATTATAACGTACATTCAACTTATCGTAGAAGACCGAAAAATATTTATGGCCAGCATATGATATGCAGTCGAATGGCCACACTTTCATCGGAGGATGTGTAGCACAACGTCCTGACTTACTTTAGTCGTAACACACTTCGATATAGAAGATATAGTCTCGTACGCCCATACCTTACAAATACACGATAGATGTTATAAACCAGAATAGAAAACAAAAACAACAAAGAATATAGTATTTATGTCCGTACCTGGAACGCCCATGGAAAACCATTAGAGACTATATGATTTCCTCAAACCTCCCTCCTTCGACTTCTTGGACGGGACACACTGCAAACTATTTATTGTCTTATCGAACTAGAGCAATCCACAATCGTGGTTGCAGCAGACTTCCTAGTCGTCCATTATTCCCAGCAAAGTATGGTCAAACTTCAGGTTTCTCCCTCTCCCCAACAGAACTAACTCAATGAAGTACACTACTGACACCTTAACTGCATCAAAGTCATCCTCGAACCGTACGGATGTATACATCTTCTCTAAATCACTCAACAACAGGTCCGTGCTATCATTGAAGTATAGGGTCCTAAGTCTTTGAGGAAACGTGTCTTTCCTAACTAGACTTTTAGAATACTTTAGCCTGCTAATGATGTCAAACTCCCTCCAACTAAAACACACCTTAGTCCCAAAAAGGTTGAAACTAATAGTGTCTAGTGTACTCTCGTCAACTTCCCTAAGCAAAATACAGTGTATCAATGGTACGTTAAATACGAGGTCCACGTCAGGGAGGTGACCACAGATAGTTTTCCTAAACATAGCGAGTTGTTTGGGGGTGAGTTTTGTCTTAATATCATTACTTGTCTTCGCTATATGCGATAGACATGTTAGATTGGAAGGGGCATAGGTTGAAGGATCAATTTTAGGTATCAATTCCATTTTAAAACACCTAGAGAGGAGTTAAGAAAAAAACAACACAATAATAAGATATAAATAATACAGGAACAACCAAGTAACAAGTTCACATATAAAAAAAAAAACTAATTTTTTTTGCATTGCTGTTAAATTCCTCGGGGTCGACCTCGGGCGAAATCGTTCCCGAGGATTAAGCAACAATCGAAATCCCTCAGGGTCAATACTGTCACATTCCTCGAGCCTAATTTCGGGCAAAATCGTCCTCAAGAATTACACATCAAACGAAATTTCTCGAGGTCAATTTCGAACAATTCCTTGGGCCTCATTTTGGGCGAAATCATTCCCGGGAATTTCAGGCGACGTGTTTCACGAGGAACCTCTAATAAATTTGAAACCTCAGTTTCCCTCACCCAAAGTCGTTCCCGGGAAATTTTCCCGAACAGAAACCCCAATTCAAAAACTTCAAAATTCACCAGCCTTTACCCCATTTCGCCCAAAATCACCCTGATTCTTCACCTTCTGCAACCTCCCACCGCTTAAAACACAACATTTACAGAACTTACCCTTCTAAGCTTAATAGATAACCACAATGAGCATAAAAAATCTTTTAATCGATGAAAACTAAACCCTAAAAACATTGAAATCGATGATAATAGAAAATGAAACGCTAAAATGTTGAAATCGTCAAACCCTAACTACACAAACTAACAAAATCCACTTACCTCAAAATCGAATAAAAACACGAGTTCATAGTGAAGAAATGAGCTTTAATCTTCGGTCAATGGCGCTTTGGTTCGAGAACGGGGGAAGAAACGGTGAAGAAAAAACGCGGAAAATGAGAGGAAGATAAAGAGGGGGAAACGGGGGGAAGCCAACAGTTCTTTGGAGGCAAGGGTAGAAATGTAGTTTTATTTTTTTTAATTTAATTAAAATAATATAATGAGTCATCTAAAATATTTATTTAAGGTAGAGTCATTTGAGCAAAAAGTTCTTGGGAGGGTCATTTATTTGGGAAATTTAAGTAAATAGATAAATTTGGCCCCCACTTAAGAAAATGTCCCTTAGTTTATAATTTTGCAAAAATGGCTAAAGGATAGATTAGGAATTTTACATTTTTAAGTGTTTTCCCCATAAATGTCCTTCCTACGTTTTAAACGTATTTAACAATCCAACAAACTTGCTATTCAATTCAAAACTTGTTTCCTATCTTCAAGAGATTTTATCTTCATTATTTTAATTCTTTTATTAGTAATTTCACTTAATTTAAACGTCTTACAGTGTTCCACGGTCTTCATCTCATCCTTCTGCCATTCTACTATATCTTCTTCTTTTAGCTCCTTATTTCTTTATAACAATGGTGAATGTAGTAACCACAATTTTATATGGTGGTACGTGAAATGGAAAAAATGGATACAACAATTTCTTTAACAAGAGATTCTTTACCTTTTTATGTTCTACCTTTCTTCTTAAATTTGTAGCCTTCTTTGGACGCGCATCCTCATCAGATTCTGTCTCTGAAACATTTTTAGAAGTTAAGTTATTTACCTTATCTTCATCGGTAGATTCATTATTCACCATTTCACTTTCTTCATCAGTTTTTGTATAATCCTTATATTAGAAAAATTATCAAAATTATAAGATCAATATATGTATCTACCAATTGATGATAAACCAACATTAGAATACAATACACGTACGTTACGTACATATAGCAACTCAATCATCAAAATTAAAACGTCCATATATGTATGTACTAATAATTCAACAATTAACAAAACATGAAAGTTGATAGATGTATATATCAATTCAAGAAACAACCAAATATGTAAGTGTATACATCTATTTACTGGTGTACAACTAAAGTATCATAAATAAATAAACTAGTAAATGTATATCCCAATAAATTAAAACGTCTATATATGTATGTACTAATAATTCAGCAATTAGCAAAATATGAAAGTAAATAGATGTATATATCAATTCATAAACCAAATTAAAACGTCAATATATCTATTGACTTCTGTACAACTATAGTAAGTACATGTATATCCCAATAACTACCTCATTACCAACCTCCTCTCCTTCAACTATCTTGATACCTTTTCCTTTTCCCTTAAACATAAAATTAGAATTAAATTAGTGAATCTAATTTTAAAATATTACTATTCAACAKCAACATCTTTTGAGTTCTTACCCAAGTTTCCTCCACCTCTCTTTTTRCTGGTCTCATTCAATTTTTTACCTTTCTTTCCCTTATTTATTGGAGTCTCTACTTGAGTATTTGATGATTCAATCTGTATATATAAAGATAAAGACATCTATGGAAGAATTTAAAAAAAAAACATATAACTCATATATAAACTGTTGTATCTATACCTCTTCTTCACTGTCTAAAGTGATTGTGCAGGTTTTTCTTCAACGTCCTGCTATTCCACCAACCTTTAATCGTTCACTCGATCGTCGAGTTATTCCACCTCTAACTTTAACCATATAGAAAGTTTGTTGGAATTAAACACATATACTCCTCAATTTTGGTTATTAACAACACGCTCATGTGTAGGCCCCACATTTATATATTTAAAAAATACACCTGAAATTTAGGANGTTATTAACAACACGCTCATGTGTAGGCCCCACATTTATATATTTAAAAAATACACCTGAAATTTAGGAAGACAAAATATATCTTTTTAAAGTAACTTTATACGCAAAATAAGAACAAAGATTTTACCTTCCTCACACATTAGAGGAACAGTCTTGGCGACGGCGTGATGGGAGCAGCGACGGGATGAGAGCGGCCGCCGGATGGGAGCGACGGCGGGATGGAAACGATGGGGGATGGGAGCAGCAGCGTGATGGAAATTCTCGGCGTCGTCGGCTGCTATCTTCTGCAATTGGATGGGAGCGACGGTTGGGTGGGAGCGGCGGCGGGATGAAAAGGGCGGGGGATGGGAGCGACGACGTGATGGAAATTCTCGGTGTCGTCGGTGACTATCTTCTGCGGCGTTGTGGGCTTAAGGATTTCGCCAAGACTGTTCTGCGGCTGTGGCTGTCTTCTGGGCGTGAAAACAATTAGGTAAGGTGTTTTTTTTTCCTTTTTGAGTTCTGTCGTGTGATTTTTTTGAAAACCCTAATTTTTAAAAAAACCAATTAAAATATTCCTCCCTAATAATATTTACTCTCTTATTTTGTAAATCTTATATTAAAGATGACTAAATTTCAAAATCTACCACAACCCAATCTTATTAATTTTAATAATATTTACTCTTTTGATTTTTTAAAAACAAATAAGCTTATTCCTCCCTAATAATATTTACTCTCTTATTTTGTAAATCTTATATTAAGGATGGGTAAATTTCAAGATTTATCCAACACAATCTTATCAATTCTTTTTAAATTTACTTTATTAGCAATTTTAAATTAGAATTAAGATAATTATTTTAATCAGATTCATTTTTTATTAGATACCGTTGATTCCCTAATATTAAGGTCGATTGTTTTTGTTATTCGTAAAAATTTTAAATCCCTAAAATTATGCATATATACCTAATTTGTTACAAGGGTATATTTGTCTAAACATTTTTTCAGTATTTAAAAAAAAATCATTTAGCCATTATTACAATATCGAATAGGTTTGGACATTTTTTAAAACGAATTATTAAATTTGGTCATTCCTACACTTGCCCCCATTTATTTAAGCCGAAAGTAGAGAAAAGTCGGCCTTAATCTAGAAGCTTCCTCAGCAGATTCAACAACGAAAATGATCTCACAAAGAGACCGAAAATTTTTCATTCCCCCAAAACTAAAAAATAAAAAAGTCCGACAGCGACAGTGAGCACCTAGAACGACGTCGTTCAATGAGACACAACTGAGGGGCAGTTTCGTCAACTCACTTTAAGCCACCGCAAAACCCTTGTTCCCGTTCTCTCTCCCATGTTCTCCTCAAGCTCATTCTTCTCTTCGTTTCCTTCCTCTCTACTTCACCGGAAAAAGTTTTGATTCCGATCTCATTCTTCGGTTTCGATCAATTTCTTCGTCAACCATGTTCGTCACGAAGATTTTCTCAGGCGCCTGCCGGAACATTTGCCGGAGCTCGCTGCTCTCTTCGGCCTCGCAATCTGACAAAACGACGCACTTGCCAATCCTCGCCAATCACTTACACTATCGTGTTAACCAACCTATCGACAAGGTACGGTTTAATTACCGGGCAATCACTCGGTCGAGTTTTCTGCTATTGGGGTTTAGCTAGGGTTTTGGTTTTTCCGCAACGGAAGAACGACATTTGAATTCGAATTTCTTCTCTTTTCGATGAGGTTTTGATCGTATTTGTTTTTATATTCTGTGGTTATGTGCCTTGGGGCCTTCCGTGAATCTTGGTACTGTTGCTGGGTGTCTTGGATTTGTTATTATTTATGAACTTTGGTGTAGTTTTATTATATTTTTCTATAATTGGAGAGCGTTTAATTGTCGTGCAGCTTATGTTTTTTCCTCTTATTATTCTTAGGAGCTCATTGGGATTTATTGGTTTTTTATTGTTTAAAGGAATGGGTAACTGGTGCTTCATTTTTTGGTTACGCGTTTGGTCTTCTTATCTATTCAGAATGAGGGAATGTAAAATTGTAAAATTTTATTCGTTGGTCTAATATGCCTAGTTCTATTCTTTTTTCTGCTCAGGAATCTGCGTTGCATCATTCATTTTTCCTTCAAAAGTTCAGATTATCAACATCTGCATCCCCTGAGACTTCTGATAAGGAAAATGGTAATACTGTACCAAGTAATGGCGGCTCTACACCTGCTTCTGAGCCTACGGCTGAAACTACTGGTCAACCCAAAGAATCAGGTTTAATATCCAGATTTTGATTTTTAATGCCCGTCTTAAGGAGAAGTTGTAATAAATTCTAATTTATGATTCAGATTCTGAGAGTGATGACAATCTTTCCATGGATGATCTGGTGAAACTTGTGACTGAGAAGGAAGAACTTTTGAAGTTAAAGCACAAAGAGATTGAACAAATGCAAGATAAAGTTGTTCGCACATATGCAGAGATGGAAAATGTGATGGCCAGGACAAGGCGTGAAGCTGAGAATTCAAAGAAATTTGCCATACAGGTTTTATTTTTTATTTTGGCTTATTTCTCGTCCTTGATATTTGTTTTGATGTTGCAATGACATGGGCAATTCATTAATGCTCGCTTGCAAACTTTTATCCTGACCTCTATTATTTATATATATTTTAGAATTTTGCAAAGAGTTTACTGGACGTTGCAGACAATCTAGGACGTGCTTCATCTGTCGTCAAGGAAAGTTTTTCAAAGATTGATTCAACTGACGACTCTAGCGGGGCTGTGCCCCTGTTGAAGACCCTTCTTGAAGGTGTTGAAATGACTGAGAAACAGTTGTCTGAGGTAAAATGTCTTGTTCAAAATGTTCTTGAGGCTTACAATTAGTTTGAATTTATTTTCTTATCAAAATAATTGGTTGGTTTTAGTGGTTAACGAAGAACTTATGTGACTATGTCAACTTATTTAGGATGTTGGTATGTCATGTATTTTCTGATTTGACTTCTAAATTGTCGGTTCTGGTGTTAAAATAAAAGAATGAGGATTCCAATTATTTGTAAAACTAATATGCCAGATGAATTAGCCAATTGAAGCTATCTGCTGTGTTACTTGTATCTAATTTTGGTTCTTGATATTCATGTGCAAATTATGTTAAACTAAACTATGTTGCAGGTGTTAAAAAAGTTTGGGGTGGAAAAGTTTGATCCTACAAATGAACCATTTGATCCACATATGCACAATGCTGTGTTTCAAGTACCAGATGGTTCTAAACCTCCTGGTACTGTTGCTGCTGTATTGAAGGTATGTCTCATAGTCATAATCATTTTTTTTGTGCATGGTTCTACTCTTCACCATTATTATATTTCAAATTCTTCGTGTGCATTTTTCGTTGAATATGGAAATTGTATGCTGATGAATTGAGGCAAGATAAATTTCTTTATGCGGATAGGTAATTAACAAAATAAAATGAACTTCATGAACATTTTCCTTGACCAATTAATTCCTCTCAAGGGCCACAATTGTATGTATGCTGATGAATTGAGGTAAGACAAATTTCTTTATGCGCATAGGCAATTAACAAAATAAAATGAACTTCGTGAACATTTTCCTTGACCAATTAATTCCTCTCAAGGGCCACAAATGTCTTTATGCACATAGGTAATTAACAAAATAAAATGGGAACTTTGCGAACACTTTCCTTGACCAATTAATTTCTCTCGAGGGCCATTTGTTCGTAGCACATGAGAATTGGGTGTCAGTTGTCTAAAGATGTTGGCTAGCTATATATTTAGTTGTCCACAAAAAATCTTAGGATATTTTCTTTGTAAATAAGATATCTATATTTGTTTCTAGAATTTTGACCATCTAATGTAATTATAAATATTTTCTTTTGTCAATCCCCATGGGTAGACTTTGTGTCAGAAGAACAAGTATGTTGTGGGGATATTTGGTTCACAATTCTATTAAGCCTAGATTTGAGCAGCACAAATATGGGCTCGAGTTTGTGTAGCTAATTTTTTAACTGTGTAGGTCAATGAATTATAGAAATTGAGGTCTATGTAGTTTACGTCTGATTTATAGTTTGTGATTTGTGAGAATAAGTGTGTGTGTGTGCGGCTAGTTAGGTTTCAAAAGTTTGGATTTATGTAGCTCATGGGATTATCAAACTACCCCAATATTTTCCAAAGGACAAAATGCAAAAAAGGGTGAGGTTTTTTTTAAGCGCACAACAGAGAAATATAATCTTTTTATTATATAGGAAAAAATATAGTATTGAGTTTTGTAAGAGCTTGTTTAGAGGAATGAGGAATTTTGGAACATACTACCCAATTTCTTTATAAAGGAGAAGGGCATTTCATTTGAGCCCAATTCCGCATGAGCAAAATTTGATGATGAAACAACATTGTGATCTGATCTTATTGCTCTTAAAACTCTTCCTTGTGCTTGAGGCCAACATTGGGAGTGCTGCTCAAGCACACAAGTGTTAGGCCACCAATAGTGAAGACTCACTATAGAAAGGCCACCAATAGTGAAGACTTACTATATAAAGGGTAGAAGGGGAATTGTACCTGGGGTAGATGAGTAATATTACTAGGGAGTAGGGTAACGGTTTGCAGAGTGGGGCCCAGGAATGTATGAGGGCAGAGAGCAGTAGAAAAAGGAAGGTAGTGGGGGGAGGATCATTCTAGTTGTGAGTGCTAAAAGGTAGCTAAGGAGAGATTACCCACCCTCTCGAATAGGTGGGGTAGCTTTGCATCGCCTTGAAGCTTTTCTATTGATTTCAATACCAAAAGTGAGAAGAATCCTCACAACAAGTTTGGGTCTTTCATCGAATGATGAATGACTTATGGAAAAGGCTCTGGCCGCTAAAGCATATAATAGCTCTTAAAAATAGAAAATGAACTTAGAGCTCCAATTTCCAAAGCTAGGAGTTCTATGTCTAGAATTTTTTTTTTTTTCTGAACCAGAAACAAATGGAGAAGAAATGTCTACATTGGTAAATGGAAAGGAAGAAGATGTTCAAAATATAAACTCTTGGAGGGAGAAAAATGATTACAACATATAAAAAACAAAGCTCCAAATACGGATAACACATTGTTGAACAAAACCATCATGGGTTGGCCTAGTGGTCCAGAGGGGTCAAGGTAATTCTAAATAACTTTGAGGGAATGGGTTCAAACAGTGGGGGTGACTTATCTATGATTTAATTTCCTTGTCCTGTGAGATTAGTCCAGGTGTGCGCAAACTGGCTCGGACACTCACGAATATAAAAGAATATAAAAAAATAGACACACGTTGAACAAACCCACTAAGGTCTTGACAAGACGACACGCCCATATTTTCAGGAATGTCTAGATTGAGGGAAAGTTTTGGGGGAAAAGAAAAAAAAAAGATACTGAGGCAATGTGGCACGTGCTTCTTGCACAACTGAGTGCACCTTAGTGAGCGTAAGGAGTGAGGCACCCTGTCATAGCCTAAGATAAAAATCTTAGAGTAATCTAGTTGTCAGAGGGAAAAACAGATGCATTGAGGGTATTTCTATTGTATCATCAGTTTTAACATAATTGAATTGAAATACCCATGAGTAAGGATGTTCATCTTGTCCATGGAAAATAGGATATCCATTTTTCCGTAAGAGGTTTTGGCTAAGATTCATGTGCGTACAATGCTTAAAATAACATGAAACTGCAACACTTTGTCTATATCTATGTTTGTTCATCGAAACAGATTGTAAGTCAGAACTTGCACCGAGATTATGATGATGACTGCAGAAGCCTAAGTGTGGTTTCCTTGTTTATGTTAATAGAAAGGATACATGCTTTATGATCGGGTTCTTCGACCTGCTGAAGTTGGTGTTACTCGAGCTGTGGAGAATGAGGATGATAATGTCAGCTGAGAAAGGGGTCTCAAGGTTGAAGGATATGCATATTATCTGACGCAAGTTTCCCCTCAAAAAAAAGTTTTGCTATACGGTATGTTCTTTAGTAGAGAAGTTAATCTTAACTTACTGTTAGATGCACAGTAAAAGGGAAAACAATTTAATGGTTGGATAAACATTTGATTTTGTTATGTATTTATTTAGAGAGAGATGTGAGAGAAGAGGGTATTTCCATTGTTTCCTGTCAGCTCAAAATTCAGAATATGTGTATTTTGATTCCATAAAGCCTTCCATGTGTAAACATTTTCTTGAGGCATTTTTCTTCCCTTGGAAAGTTGCCAAAGGGCTTCTTTACAAGAATGAACCCCACAATCTGATGTCTACATTTTGACAGCAGCACCAATCGATAAAGCATACCAAATAAATAATTTTGTATTGGATTAAGTCTTTTTTCTTATAATTTCTTTTTATATTTAGGTTAGTTCGTATGCACCTTGACTTGTAAGATAATCGCCTCATCGTTCTATGTTCGATTGCTAGGAAAATGTGGAGGATATTCTTAAGTATGTAGGTAGCATGCTTTGAACGCATTCCTGTTTTTTTTTTCATTTGACTTTCATTTTTTTAGGGTGCTTAATTTGAAGGTATATCTTATGGAACACTATACATGTCATTTACTAAATAAATTTTTGTATCATATTTCTTTTTCTATTTTTTTAAAATGTTTTAGGTTTAATTTCAAGTGGTTTTTAAACTTTCAGACTTGTTAAATCTATCTAGGTTTTATATTTTAAAAATATTTTAATTTGCTTTTCATTGATTGTCAATTAGGTCACCCTCGTCAATTCTATTATTACCGTACAGTTGGTATATATTAATACAAGAATGAATGCAAATGTTATATAGCTATATAATTTTTTGGTGGTATATACTCAAATAGGTTATATAATATATATACTTTGAAGTAGCGAGCCATATATACAAAATCTAATCAACTCCCTGACATAATTTTAAATTTTCAAATTAGAGATTTAGGGATTTCAAAACAAAAATAAGGGATTTTATGAAACATGATTGCACGGTTTTAGGGATTTTAAAACAAAAATTACCCCCAAATTCTAAATTTATTCTATATTTGATTTTATTTTTTATCATTAATATATAAGAAAGGGCCTCTGAGTAATTTTTTTTTAATGGATCCACCTGTAATGATTCATCAATAATGTAAATTGTTAAGAAGTTAAGTTTTGAGTCCTAAAATAGGTTGATTGTGTACTAATCCCTTTATTATTTAATAAAAGTGATTTGGGTTAAAGAAATTTAGGACCCGAACAATTAGGTTGGGTCTTAAAATATTTCAACCCAATCCATGAACACCTCTAAGTTTAAGATTTGCTCTCAATCTATCGTAGTTTCTAGTTTTCCTCGTGTTCCAAATAAAGGTGATTTGGGTTAAATAAATTTACGACACGAACAATTAGATTGGGTCTTAAAATATTTCAACCCAATCCATGAAGACCTCTACGTTTAAGATTTGCTCTCAATCTATCGTAGTTTCTAGTTTTCTTTGTCTTCCAAGATTATGATAGTGTTGCATTTATGAATTTAATAGATTCCTAACTTTAACTGTCAAACCTTCAAACGAACTCAACAGAAGGATTCTGGAAAGAACTCCATCCAGCATGTAGTTAGTTAGGCATGAAAATATATGTCTGCAGCATATCACTCACAATGAAAATCCTTGCACTAAATATATGTTTTAAGCACTCATGTTTCGTGTCTTTTTATTTTGTATAGTTCTTATTGTTTAAGAGTTTTAATTTAGTCTATTGCATTTTAACATTGTTTAATTATATGTTTTCCGTAGGTAAATGTCAAAATTGGCTAATGTCAAAATTCTTAATAAGCTGACAAACATAACGTTGTTTAATTATATGTTTTCTATGGGTGAATGTTAAATTGGCTAATGTCGAAGTTCTTAATAAGCTAATCTCGAGGAAGAATTATGTCACTTAAGAGATTAGTTATTTAATTCCTCTTATAAATTTCCCAAAAATTTACAAAAAATTTTGATTTTTTTTTTCTTTTTAGATTGGTCTAATTCTCTTCTAAGTTTCAACCACCTCACTAAAAATGTATAATTAATAGATAAAAGGGAGTAACTGAATAATAGGACTAAAATGAAAAATAAGAACATCCAAAAACATTACAGGCCTATGTCTATGGTTTTCTATTTTAAAAAATTATGCCTGTTTGCTCAACATTTCTTATATATGTTTTTCATATTTTTTTTTTTGAGTATTTAAAGTGTATTTGATTTTTTAGCCAAATTAGAAAAAACAAAAATAGAATTTTTTAAATTATTTTTTAGATTTTGGAAACACGTTTAAAAAATAAATAACAAAATAAGGAAATGCATAGGTGGGAGCGTGTATATCTTAATTTTCAAAAACAGAAGAAAAAAAAGTTATAAAACCAACCTAACGATTAATACATATATCTAAGGCTCGTTTGATAACGTTTTTTTTCTTGTTTCCTGTTTTCTCTTTTTTAATAAATAGAAATAGAATTGTCTTTGTTTGTTGTTGTTGATCACGAAAATGATGAAGCTCGGACTTCAGTTACTAACGTACAAAGGACCTGCTAAATAGAGTTGGCACTCTAATGCTCAAGTCAGACACAATCCGATATATATCCAAGAGAGAATATAGTTTCACGCACCCTGCACGAGAGGTGGGGATCTCTATTTATAGAGGTGAGTTCCTGACAAGGCTTCCGATAGCGCTCCAACGACTCTCCTACCGCCCGAGAATTGGGACGCCTTGTCGGAGAATGTGTCTATTGCTTTCATGCCTGCAAGTGCTCTTCAAGGTCGACTCATAGTTGACAAAGGTCAGCCGGAGGTGAGATATAGTTAGGCTCGACTTCCACCGTCGAGCTACTTAGACTTTTCTAAATGAAAAGATCCATTTGTTTCTTCTGATGAAGACCGGGATGAAGACCGAGATGGTATCCAGAAAGACCATCCTTCTGGAATCCATCTTGGGACTCATCCCGGTTCGAAATGGACTGGGACGAGACCCGAGATGGAATCCAGAAAGAAGGATGGACTTTCAGGGTTTCATCCCGGTCCTAAATCCACCGGGCTTAAAACCGAGATGGAACCCTGAAAGTCAAAAATTAAAACAAAACAATGGAAGCAACAATAAATCAAACTTCATAATAACCTTGGCTACTTCAGATAGAGC